ACGTCTAACTACGTCTATACTACTATACTCTTTTAGATCTAACCTAATAAAAGTATTTACTCTATTACCTATCTCTCTAAGAAGATAATACTAATAGAGTATAACTATAAAATCTATAATAAGAAACTTCTTACTATTATATAAGCTTTTAAGAAATAGCGCCTAGAGCTTACTAAAGTCTCTAACTTAGTAGAAGTTCTTACTAATTATAGAAGTTTAGAGTACTTCTACTTAAAGAGATACCTAAACTATAGATAAGCCTAATAAGTAGAATTTCTTAAAGAATTTAACTTCTAAGTTAAGTATTAATCTAGAAAGCAGAGTATAAAGCCTAATAGTCTTATCTACTAAACTAGTAATTTCTCTAAATATATTTCTAATAATTATATTTAATACTAGTACTAGACTCTACTTAGAAATTACTAGTAGAATAGTAGTAGCTATAAAGTAGTTTAACTTATAAAGATTTGCTTATCTAATAATAAGTATAATATTCTCTCTATTCTATCTTTTATATAAGAGACTAGTAAAAAGACTTTACTCTTTTATATAGGCTTAGTTAGACTTACGTAACTATCTCTTTATAATAAATATAATTCTTATAATAATATAGTTAACGCTAATAACGTTTCTACACAAAATCTAATTAATTAGCTTTACTCTAGAGATATATATCTTACTACTATCTATAAAGCTCTTCTTAATAGAGACTAACGTATTCTATATTATCTTATAATAGAAGAAGTTAGGCTAAAGCTAGAAAATATTTAGTCTAGTAATAATAGTAAGCTTTTTATAAAAGATAACTATCTAATAGTACTTTTTAGTAAGAAGCTTTATACTTAAGTTATTAAGAATATATATAACTTCTTACCTAGAGAATATAGTAGAAGAACTATAATATACTAGTAGGTAAGCTAATAGTATTACTAGTAGAGTATAACTAATATAGTAGTCTATTTTATAAACTATTACACTATCTACTAGTAATCTAAGACTAATTAAGAAGCTAAATATAGCTTATTATATTCTCTTCTAGTATTTACGCGCTACTAGAAGAACATTTCTATTAACTTTATTATACTACTCTCTATATCTAAATAGTGTAGATAATTATACTACTATATTATAGTTATTATTAACTAACTATTTAAAAAGAAAAAGTTTATTACTATAGAGAACCTAGAAGTATCTATAGTTATTAATAAGTTTCTTAAATATATATAGAAAGAGAAAGATTATTCTAAAACTCTTATTAGTAACTATAGACGCTAGTTTATCTTATACTTCTAGCGCTACCTTTATAATAGAGTTAGTATAAGGCTAAAGCTATTTACTTTTTACTACTCTAAAATAGATAGATAAACTAAAAATACTAATACTAATCTTAAGTAATATTTTTATTTCTACGTTAATTACTTATAGAATAACTAAGTATAGCTATTACTCTTAGTAGAATTTAAGGCTAACTTAGCTATAAGCTTAGTAACTAGAGTTTCTCTATTCTAGGCTATAAAAAGTTATTAACTTTATAGTAGCTTAGAGTCTTTATATATTACTAACGCTTCTTCTATAACTTAAGTATAATAATATAGCGCTAACTTCTTTATAACTTATATTAATATAATATAATAGTTTCTATATAATAAGCTTATATAGTTATAAAAGAAAATATATAACTTTACTAATACTAACTAGTACTTTACTTCTTAATTTAATATTAGTAATTAGATTCTTCTTAATACTTATTATATTAAGACTAAGTAACTAGTAAAGTTACTAAATTATAAGAATATAAAGCTATACTAAGTTACTTATATAATAGATAATATAGCTTATAAATTAGATCTCTCTACTAGTCTAAAGAGCCTATTCTTAGTATTCTACTCTTAGCTTCTATAGCTATATAAAAATAATATACTCTCTAGCTAGTCTTACGCTAGTAATATTACTCTACTAGAGGTATATCTAAATAATAATAGTAATACTAAATACACTATTACCTAGGTACTTAACTTCTATATCTACTATATAATTAATCTCTACACTAGAGAGTATAGCTATTTATAATATAAGGTAGAATAAGTAGGTAATAACTAGTTAAATAACTAGTAACTATACTATAATTTATAAGAGAGTAAGAAGTTAGTCTAAAACTACTATAATTATAATCTTAGCTATCTAGAACTTTACGCTACTTTCTATAATTATAATAATAATAAAAAGTTTATAGTTACTCTACTCTATTTATTAGACCTTATATACTTAGAAAGAACTAGCTAGTTATTTAATAATTACCTTAGCTATAAAGCTTCTAAAGCCTACTAGATTACTAATTCTAATATATATTTCTACCTAACTTTAACCTCTATAGATAATAGTAGTATTATATCTTACTACCTATTACTCTTATATAGTTAGTGTTTCTTTAATAGCACTCTACTTAGCTTAAAAAGTACGTAATAGATATCTTTATTAAGAAGCTCTAGTTATTCTATATACGCTACTACAAGAACTTCTTATAAAGAAAGTCTCTACTTAATTAATTAATTTTTTTTCTTCTACACTACTAGCTCTTACTATAAAGAGCCTAGAGCCTCTAAGTATTAAACTTAGAGCTACTAAGTAGTATACGCTTAGTTAGAACTTTAAGTATTTTAGAGAGAAAACATATTATAGTTTAGAGCCTTATAGGTAGCCTATACGCCTACTTTATAAAGTATTTAGACTCTATAGAGTAGATCTTCTTCTCTACACTATAATAATATTATAATTTAATATTAACTTAATTATCTAAACTTAATATAACTCTTATACTAGTGTAGCTTTTAGTATTAAATTTAAGCTACTATTTATATCTTTAATAAGTCTTTAAATCTCTAATTTTACTATAAGCTATAAAATAAAGATAAGAATAAAGATAAGAATTTTATAAGCTAAAATTTTAGTATTTTATTACTTTATAATTTATAGCTTAGTTAGTTATAAGCTATTAAAAATATATAATTATATTATAATTCTTTTTACTATAATATAAGTAGATATTAGTATTTATAAAATAGTTACTTTACTACTCTAAATTTTAAAAGCTTTAACTACGCTAAAAGTAGTAGTGCTAAGAACTTAAGCTTTAGCTTATCTAACGCCTACACCTTTAAATATAAGATTTTAACTTTTTTAAAATACGTTTTTTTATATACTAGTAATAAACCTTACTTTTTTTAGACTAGCTTCTACTATAGAATTATTAGTTTACTAATAAAAAAAGTATTATAGTAATAGCTAAGTAGCTATTATAAGTAATAGGTTATTTAGTTAATTATTTAGATTATTTAGGTTATCTAGTGCTAGTATATTAAATATAAAGTCTAGATTCTTCTTAAATATCGCGAGTTTAATTAGAAGCATGTCTTGACGGTTGAACTTCGACTTAGTGTTCACGCTGGCTCCAGCTTTCAAAAGTAACTCGACGATCTCGATACAGTCCGAGCGAACGCCCTCAATCATAGCAGAAGCTGTTGTTTTCGTCTGCAAGGGATCGATGTAGCCTCTATCGAAGAACAACTCGACGATGTCCTCACGTCCATGCGTACATGCGATAGAGTACTGAGCGAAGGTGATGCGGGCTGCGGACCGGTTCCTATCGCATGATGTGTATGCTGTGTCCAACACGTACTGAAAGACGATCAGAGTCGACTCGCGGATGGCTTGCTCGAGCAAAAGGTTGTACATAGCCTTTGAGAAAGTGAGCCCTTCTTCTTTATACCAGGTAACAAGAATGGTAAGTATCTCCAAGTCGGAACATTCGAGAACACGAAATATCACCTCCATGAGACGAAATCCGTTCTTCTTCTTATACCGCCAACGAAACGGATGTGCCTTCAGAAGCTCTTGCACTTCTTCCGTTCGTTTTGGGTCCTTCAGAGCAGTGCCAAGATGATGTAGCATAGCTTTGAGAACGGGAATCTGTCGATCTGTGCTCGCTCGCTCAAGTGGACTTCCGAAAACAGGATGAGGGTCGTAGTTGCTGAGTGATTTCATCACAGTTCCAACAAGATCATGATGTCCAAGGCTTGACGCAGCTATAAGCTTGTCCATTTCTCCAAATGGTATGTGAGAGAGGAAATCCCCGTAGTATGCATGTTCATCAATCAGAGCACAAAAGACCGTGCTAGCCGAGGTGGGGTGACCTAGTTTATCGCAGAGATCCCGCCTTAATACTTCTTTCTCACTCTTCTTGGTGATTTCTAGCTCTTCTGCAAGGTAATCGACCATGTCATTGATTCTGTCGGGTAGATAAGGCTGGGCCTCCAGAGGATCCTTGCTGCGGTAGTAGAGATAGAGACCAAGATTCCGAGAAAAGATCGTGTGTAGTGAACGCCAAGGACGGAAGGCTTCGATGGACTGTTTTGCGAAGATGTCGAACGTTATAGCTGCCTTGAATGTGCCTTTACTCGGTCAGCTTGCGCTCGGAATATGAGACCTCACCACCGTTGTACTCACGACAGACCCCACGGAGCTTCCAGGCTTTGCCGACACCAGCGATAGAAACCAGCTCGTGGGCGACATTCTCAAACACTTCCGGTGGGAAATCTAAGAGCGGCATTGTAGCAGACGGTATCGACGATAAATCTTTGGTGCTTCTAGCCTGCGAGGTGCTGACGTTAGCTTCTTATAAGAGATTAAGGCCGCTGTGGTACCTTTGTAGTCTGTATACTTGCTTTTGCGCGCTTCATGGTGATATCCCCGCGTTAAGATCGCCTCAGTGAACAAGTCGGGGAAATGAGGATGAAGAGAAAGTTGGAAGAGGAGTACAGTAGTTGCCGTGCTAGATATACTGCTCTAGTCTGGCGCTAGCGTAGTGGTTGTACTCTTGATAAGAGAGTCGTCTCGGTGGGTAGCAAGGTACCCAGGTAAAGGTAGCAGTGATATATACACGTCCCGTACAGCTGTCCGGGTAAGCCCAAGTAGCCAGTGAACTGGCAGGTGATGTGCAATGGTCAGTCCTGCACCTCGTCCTCCATGTACTCCTGCAGCAGGTCCTTGCGGCCGGCGTACGGCGACGGCTCGACATACGTGCCCTGGAAATGTGCCATCCAATTCTCTCCTACTCGCGCCGGCGTGCTTTCCCGGTCGACTGGGATTGCCGTGTTGCTATCACAGACGCTCAAGTCGCCTATGTCGAAACGAACATTTCCCTCGCCTTGTTGTATCCCTCGCATAACGCGTGTGAACGATTCAGAAAAGAAACAGCAACTGTCCAGGAGGCTAAGCGGGCTTATGGGACGTGGAGCGAGCGATTCGAGTGTTCTTTGCCACCTGGCATCTTCGAGCATTTGCTCAAGGAGAGCGAGCGTGCTTGCAGTGTTTCTGGAGTGGAAGATCAAAGACAAGCGATCGGGAGACAATCTCGATGAAAGAGCCACGGCTTCCTCAAACCACCGCATGAAGGCCTGAGATACGCGCACTCGTTCTATCTCTCCGTCGATGTCCCAGACTTGACCATCGTGGTATTGATCTACGAGTTGCTCGAAATAGGGCTGACCGATCTTACTCGTGATGGCCATAGTCTTTGTATCCACTTGGCGACGAATACTGATGCGGGGATACTGTTGCAAAATGCTGACCAGACCCAGGCCATGGCACTCCGAATATGCTATGCTGGCGTGGGCTTCATCGAGTACAATCTTGCGAACAGCGGATAGAACGCTCGGGTCTAGACCGTTGAGAAATTGTATGGCAAGCGCAGCTGCGGAGAAGTAGCGCTTAATGGGACCGTCCTCATATATGGGGCTATCACTCTTTGATGAACTCCAGGAGATGCATTGTTCTTTCAGCGAGGCGATTTCTGCTGGGTTGGGTATCATCCAAGGGTCAGGGGTCCCAGCGAGCAGTGATGCTACATTTGGCTGTTCAGGCCGCTGCCCAAGGACTTCGTCATCTTTCCAAAACTCCCACCACCTTCTTGTCCCCTTTCCCCGGGACAGCATGAACTTGACGAATCCACGATGAGTGGAAGGTGGATGACGCCAAAGTCTCCAGTCAACCACCATTTGCAGGGGGGTCGGTGCAATCGTTTCATGACCTCCGCGAAGGCGGTGAAGCAGCGAGAGACATTGGGGAAAGTCGACTCCGGCATGCTCAATCATATCTTCGGTGATGGCTTTACGAACCTTGTAGAGTTGGTAGGCGGTCTTTATATGAATCCATTTGAGAGCGATTGCAAAGGACGCGGCTCTATCGCTCGTCTCACGGTCGACCCAGCCCGTCCGAAAAGTGACGGTATTCTTTTCAAAGATGACGGGTCTTAACTCGTGGGCTACTTGACTGCAGGTTTGCATGAATGAGAGATCGATCGGGTCGCCGTTGGCTGTGCGTAGCCTGCGCGTGCGCTGATTATAGAGATAGCCGCCATCCTGGGCGGCATAGTAGGTATAAATCTCATCCCGTAACTCTCGAGGCAGATCGAAAAACCCCAGCATGGCAATGTTGTAAGTGGTGACGGGTTGCGGGATAGGTTGAGTGTTCTGATGAAATGGGTGAGTGATGATGGACAACTAACGAAGGAGCGAGCCATGGACCCCACACATGTCGCCAAGAGGAAGCGGTAGCGAGAGCGCTCAACCATGAGCTGCGCTGAACGAAGTGAGACTAGCGACATCGCTGTGCCAAACAAGACCGATGCATAGCCCTGGAGAGCACTGCGTTGTCTCTGTGGCAATGCGTGCAAGTGCAAAATGCACGAAGATTGACCGAGACAGTGTCGGTTGAAGAATTGATTCGCGTGCCAACACACCTCAACCGGCATGACGTCTCTAGTGTATCGTAGATAGCCCAAACGCCGTAACAATGCAGCCTGTATAAGGATAGAGACCCATGTACACCATATGATACATTCCGTCATTGTAACCCATCCGTCTCTTCTGTTAACCCGCTCATGATGCCATCACCTGAAGTTGGCGGTTCCTGGCACGTCCTTGATCTCCTCAAACTTGGTGCCCATCTTCACGACGCTGTATCTTATCAACCGCGGGTCCAAGCTCATGGTTCGCCGTAAAGCGTGCTGTGCGCGGGCGCTCGCATCGAAGCGCATGATGAAGTGGTGGCCGTAGTGGTGTGTGGTTTGCAGCTTCTTCGCTGGCTTGGGGAGGAGGAAGGTGCCCCAGTTGGAGACGCCACGGACTACGCCTTGTTGGTCGAGGACAATCTTTCCGGCGGTTTTGGCGATTCTGGAACATATCGGGTCAGCGTTTGGCTGGGGGTGTTGGAGGGCGAATTTACTCTTTAACTTCAGAGAGGCGGCCGGGCCGTACCTGCACCTGTTAGCATGTACTCTTGTGATCAATGCGACGCTCCTCCTACCACTCCGATCATCTCGTACAGCATCTTGCCTCGTTTGCGCCGTGGTGTTGCTGCCGTCGTGCCTTCCGTCGCGAAAAGTGTTCGAATGCGGCCAACCTTTCCGTAATCGCGGAGGAGCTCCACCAATGTCTTGGCGCGTGTTATCACCTCTCCAGCGCCCGCAACTTGAAGCTTCACACCCACACACATTCTGCTACAATGGTTGCCCGGACTTCAATCGCACGCGCTGCGCGCCAATTCACCTCCGCCGCCGCGAAGAGGCCATCACCATTCGTCTGCCAGAGGTGGCAGCAGGCGACTCAGAAGCCACGGTTATTCTCGGTATCTGCCGCACGTACGCACATCTGAAGCTCTGAGAAGCAATTGAGAAGCGAGCATGAGTCCTGACTGAGCGCAGTGAAGGAGAAGAAGTACACCGAGGACCATGAGTGGATTGAGATGTCTGCAGACGGCAAGACATGTATGCGCACCCTCCCCCACATCCCCACATCCCCATACGCCCTTACTGTCCAAGCGCTCTGTGACTGACACATCGCGCAGGCACCCTAGGTATCTCCGAATACGCGGCTAAGGCCCTCGGCGACGTCGTCTACATCGAGCTACCCCAGATCGAAATGGACGTTAGCGAAGGCGACGCCATCGGTGCTGTCGAGTCCGTCAAGTCTGCCTCAGACATCCTCACACCTATCTCTGGTACCGTCGCGGAAGTCAACTCAGCGCTGGAGCAGACTCCAGGCAATGTCAACAAGGACCCCGAGGGCGAGGCGTGGATCGCCAAGATCACCGTGTCTGGAGAGCCAAGCGGCAAGACCATGACCAAGGAGGAGTACGCCGAGTTTACTGAAGAGTAAACGTGCGGGAAGGAGTTTGAGGGAAGGAAGGATGCATGGGATACAGGCACCTAGGCGCATACTTCAACATGAAATGCGAAACTTCAGTCAGAACTTCACTCTGCGCGTACCGGCCATCGAGATCGTCGTACTTGCGATGATGACTGCAGAGAATTGACAGCAAATAGGATCGCATTAACATCCCAGGAATTTCGTATATTTCTACTCCAAACGATCCTCCTCTTCCCATGCTGTTTCCGACTCCCCAATCCTGTCCACAGCTTCAGTCACCATCTCCGAAACCTCCAAATACAGATCACGAAAAGCTTCCTCCTTCCCTCTACCCCTGCCCTCAAGTATGATCTTATCATCAACGACAAGATACATGACGTATGTGCTGTCGCGCGCAGGGCGACTACCCATCTTCCGCACACGAAAATACACGTCCGATCTGATATCCAGCTGAGGGAAGTAGCCTTGCTTATATAGCCAGGCCATATTCGCTCCTCAAGAGGTCAGTAAACATACACAATATTTGAATACGGCCGATCAAGCGAAAAGCGAGGGAATTGAATGCGCGGGTCATGGTAAGGAGGGAAATACTCACTGGTCAAGCTAACATCGGACTTGGAGACCCGAAGCAAGAGCTCGTTGAATCCAATGGAGATGTCTTGTAGCGACAGATATTTGCGATCTGTATCTTGTTAGTTGATTTCGCTCTCATTAAAGTGGAGTTGGAACCAACGTACCGTTGGCATGCCATAGCCTAGTATCTTCGCGCTCTGCGACTTCCTCCGCTGACTCGGTTGAAGCAGATGGCGACTTCAGTGGGCTTTTCATGGATTCCGAGGGTTTCTCTTCTTTTCCAATACCCATGGAGAGGGCGACGTATCCCAGCATGGTCGTGGGAGGGAGCATACACAAGACGCATATCGTAGTTAAAATCATAGCTTGGTGTTGTAGATTGATGCACCAGAAGGCTTGTTGGTTTCGAAAAAGCGAGGGCTGATGGTGAGTGCACACTTCGCTTATATATAACATCCAGCGCTTGATGTCTGGCTGTCGCTATGCGAACCTTGGGAGAGATGTTCAGGAAGCGAGAGTAGCCAGGTTATGTCTTCCACGCCCCAGAGACGACGGGCCAACCACACCTTCCGCAATTCATACGACCCATGAACAATTATATGGTCTCGAATGATAAGTATGGGAACTCTACAAACTTCTTCCCAGTGTCCCAAGGTTCACGTACCTCAGTCACATTACGCTTCTAACCCTTCGAAAAAAGCATCTAAAAACACCCGCCCGCACCAACACCTCGATAATCCAGCTAAAGATCTGCAAGCCGCACCGCCGCACACGTTCCTGAGGCTCAAAGCTGATCCCGAAATCTCATCAAAACTCCAACATGACGAACGGCAAAGCCATAACACCCGGCGAAAGCGCCCTCACTACAGGCCCAACTGCAGATCCCAATCGACCATCATCTCCAAGGTCCTTGGTATCAGAATTGAGAGTGCTGCTGGGAGTGATAGATTCCCGCCCGAAGCCCACTTTCGCACAATCGCAAGTCGCAGTCGAACTCAAATCGGCATTCTCACGTTATTTTATCATCTACGACGACGACGATGATGATGACGAAGATGATGGTGATGTGTGGCTGGAAAAGAGCATAGGTGCGCAAACTCCCGCCCCATTCCGACTCACATCCCGCTATGCCGTGGCACTGTGTACTTCCCTCAACACGACCAGCTAACACGAAAGCCAGAGAACCTATCTTTTCTCGCCGTAAACAATCGCTTCCCTCCCAGCCTTTCGCTGAAGGACTATGCAAAGATCGACGTGTTGACCTCTCTGCGGGGTCATGATCAGTATGCCATGCTCCTAGTGCACGAGAATAAGGTGTTGGTCGAAGGACAAGCTGGCGAACATGGGAAAATGGCCAAGGGCTTGTTCAAGTCCATTGCGATGGAAGTTGGGAGGGTTATTAAGGAGAGGAAAGAGATGGGCGAGAGATGGGTCGGCCCGTGAGAGAACAAGGGGGTTTGTAGAGAGGACTGAGATGTTGGTGTTGGATATAGTGTGCATTGAAGACTTATAGCTATATACATACCAAACCACCAGTTGGATTTCATCCTCCGCCGTCCACATTTCCCTTCCTTACACCTCACACGTTCTACCAAAAATCTATCCAGTCCACACATTGGGTCCAGGGCAAGTATACGTAGTAGCCTTGCTACCATACGTATCAACCATGATTCCTGGGTCACTCTGCGCCGCGTATCCGGGAATGTTTGCCAAGTAGTCACCACTCGGGGAAGCACTGCCAGAACCCGTGACTTCAATTTGTGCGCATTCAGCATAGAACTGAGGTGAGTTGGCCTGATGAAGAGCAAGAAGCTCGTGACGAACGAGATAGTTGCCCGGTGCGAGGGACGCGGGGACCTTTGACTCCCAGTACAAGTTCTTGAGGACCTTGGCGGTGCCCCAGCTGCGGCCCGAGAGGGGAGGTGCGGTCATGCCTTCTTGGTCGATCTAGCCAGCGTCGTTAGTAGGAGATTTGAATGTGTCAGACTTGATGATGTGTGTACCTTGAACCACTTCTTTCCAGAACCGTCGCAGCTTTTGAAGTCGCCAGAGCACTTGTACATCCAGACCATAACAGGCCCTTGCTCGTGTGTCCATTGCTTCCAGTTTGCGCGTATCTTCCCGCCGGCTGCTACCTTGGCGGAGAGGTCGGCTGAGGTGCCGCCATTGCACATGACTTTCTTGTCGTTGACGCTCAGGGTGGGGTTGTAGTCGGGCCATTGGCGTTGAATGGTCTTGGGTGAGGAGGAAGGTGAGAAGCCTTCGTAGCTGAGATGGAAGTTAGAACCTTGTCTTGATGGTACTGCTGAAGTTGAGGGATGGCTTACCCGGGGTATGTCACTCCGTCGATGACATAGCTGGTGACAGCGCCGTGGGCTGCGGCTTGGGCTGCGAGGAGCGCTGTGGGTAAGAAGACGTTTGAGAACAGCATATTGAAGGCGAATAAATGTATGCTTTGAGGTGTGATATGATCTCCATCCCGTCTGCACCCCAGCCTTATATACTCGCATCGTTGCAGCATTGCCCTGCCTCAACGCCCACCACTACTCTCCAATATCCCTCATGATCACATTACCACAGCCCACCACTCACCTCTTCCTGACAAGCCTTGTCGCGCCCACTTCACATAAACGCGATAGTACTACCTCAATATCCACGTAATATACAAAGATGCTGTGCCCGGACCGGTTAAACACCATTGGCTGCACAACACTATACGTGCTTCGCTAGCGAGCGAGCCTCCATGTCGGCTCTTGGGTCCCGAGCCAGATCGGGAAGATGATGGGACCGCGAGCGGTACCCCGGATGTTTAATTTGCACGCGAAGGTGGGGATGTACGGCGTGATGAGGCACAAGGTGAATGGCGAATGTTTTGTCGTGTAAGCGACGATGTTCTGGAATATGCAGAAGCAAGCCACATGAGAAGCGGAAGAGGCGTCAGTGGCAGTGTAGAGAAGTTTTAATAGGGATGTCGCTTCAGGTGCTCGCTGCGAATGAGTGCAGCGACGAATGATCTAAGCACCCAGCCAGTACTCGTACAATGGCGTATTGGCTTTGTTTGTAAGAAATTTTTGTCGGGTGAGCCTCACACTATAAGATGAGAAGCATCTTCCTAGTCACCTTAGATGGCGAGGTTGATGTTGGCTGCGCAATCGTGCTAAGGACCGGCACCTGCCTGAGGTGTGAATGCCACGTGCAGGATGCGTCTGGGTGCACTTCGTAACAGCGAGGCGTGGTTGAATGCGACCTGCCATCTGTGGAGTACCTAGCAAGGACCCCCGATGACATCATGGAAGCGATGTTAAAAGTGATGGAAGTCATGAAAGAGCACTGCAGGTGTCAGCACAAGCACCAGGCGGAGGCGCTAGCCTTCACGCTAGCTGGGCGCACCTGCCACTGGGCCTTTCTTAGCACTACGCGAGTTTCATCAACTCCACATGACACAGAGAGTGCAAAGAGCAAGATCATAAAGTGGGAATTCATTGCGAAAACGACTGTGACCCAAGGCGTGGTCTGGTATCTCTCACCCTGTCCAAATTTTGCAAGGAAAAACATAAGCGCCTCCAGCGTACTAACAACAGATGATCTAAAAGTTCTTCGACGCTTCAAGCCCCTTTCCGTCTGCTCCGTGCATGATTTCTTCATCGTAACGATCAGCATCGCTATCGGTGTAGGCGACACTGATGTCCGTGATCTCGTCGCCGACTTCCATCCAGACGTCGCTGGTCGCCGGGATAGGGCTGATCTTGCACAGCGCCCAGTATGTAATGCTTGCGACCAAGAAGCCAGCAAAGAAGTTGAGGTCATAGATGCGCTTCGCACCAATGGGTACGTCGCGACCGATAGCTCCTGCAAACCCGACGACGTTGATGAGGATACCAGCAATGTAAGCTGCGTAGCCGCGCCAGTGGAATCCAAGGGTGTAGTAGTAAGGACCAGTCTTCTTTCCAGAGTATAGGTCCTTGATCTGGAGGTAGCCTTTTCGGACGATGTAGTAGTCGCAGATCATGACACCCGCAATGGAGGAAAGGAAGACGGAGTAGGCAGAGAGGTAGGTTGTGAAATTGTTGGTGTCGGAGAGGAGGTTCCATGGGCACATGACGAGGCCGACGAGCGCACAGATGTATCCACCACGTCTGATACTGATCCATCGGGGTGCAAGTGCTGTCATGTCAGTTCCGGCACTGATGGAGTTCGCTGCGATGTTGGTTCCGAGTTGGGCGAGCGCGAAGGCTGCGGCGATGCAGAAGACACCGAAACGTTGCGCTGAGCCCCCCTCATCCAGGAAAGACTCGAGCAACTTCAAAGGATCCCAGATAGCCTCGCCGAAAATCACAGTGGACGACGATGAGACGATGATACCGATGAACGAGGTGATGGCAAATCCAATGGGGATAGTGAGCAGTTGCGGAAGGAAGGCGTTCGATGGCTTCTTCGCAAAACGGGCGAAATCTGGGTCATTGACGATCAAGGTAGCGAAGTTCGCAATGGCACTCATGATTCCGCGGACCATCATCCAGCCAAGCGCAGATCCGCTGAGTGTACCTTGTTGGTGAACAATCGGGCCCAATCCCTTCGCACGAACGACGGCCCAGATGAAGAAGGCGACGCCAGCAGTCGGAACAACATAGGCCTTTACGGTAAACAGGTGGCGAATCTTGTGTACTGGTGGGTAGATGAAGGGTAGCGATCCAGCCCAGAAGAGGAAAAAGGACACAAAGGCGACGGTGGTCGTGCCGGAGCTGGGGATGCCGTTGGTGATGCCACCTGTACCGGGGCCCTCAGAGTCTCTCCAGTTGTTCCAGATGGCGCGAATCATGAGGCGAACACAAGTACCGCCAATCCATGCTTGTACGCCGTACCAGATACTGGCCATGGCTGCACGGTTGAAAACGGGCCATAATGCTCCCCAGATACCGAAAGATGAACGGTTGACAACGGGGAAAGAGATGTGGTATGTTGCGCCGATACGGCCAGTCATGCAGACAAAGCAGGCAGCGATGGAGTAGCCAAGCTATCAGTCAAATCAGCGAGTGTCGGTCTAATTAATATCGATTGCCATACCCAGACACATATCCAAGATTGCCACCATGAAAGACCGTCAACAATGTTCGCGGACGAGATCATCCAGGTGTTGATGTTGAAGGAGTCGGCTGCACAGTATTAGCCTAAGTCTGTCGTTGCTTGGGAAAATGTTCGACGTACCAACCCAAAAGCCTACGAAATTCCAAGCACCCCATTGACGACGCTCCGGCTCGACAGGCTTCAAATCGTGGTTGAAGAGCATAAGCTGCGCAGTGGTGAGGTTGGGTTCGCTCTCCACGGCGAGCTTGTCGGCCCAGTATGCAACCTTTGAGTTCTTGACTTTCTCCATGATCAGGCTATAGGAGAAGAAACCTTCGTCGCTGGAATGGTGAAGAGTCGAGGTTGCAACAGGCCTTATGAAGCGAAAGCTTCGGCTGCTCGAAGCCGCTGCTTGGTAGGATTCAAGATCCCCGCTCGGATGACGTGGGGTGCTCTCAGAAGCGAGTGAAGGTCTTGGTACGCCTAGTCTTGGTGAAGGTTGTTGGTGGAGGAGTGGCTGACGTTCAGGATCCACGATGGGTGGCGTCTGAGAGTAGTTGTGAATTATGAAAGAGGTATTTAGATAGGCGCACTACTGCATGAGCGAATGTTGACGATGCTGAGGCTCCCATCTGGGGCACGCCCCATCTTAAATATCAGGAACGACTTCGCGCACCTCAAGATCTACCCTGGGTCCACTCCACGCCTAGGTGCTAAAGTGCCTCCGCATCGGAACGCTTCATGGTTGTGGTGGTTGACTGGTAGGCCCGTTCCGGTAGCCTTATCTTCGAGTTGCGATAGCCCACGCGGTGAGCTCCACCAAGATGCTCGCTGCAATTGCGCCACGAAAAGTCCCGACGACCAGCCCCGTGTGATTCGCATCTGCACCCTGCATAGTCTCCGAGGATGAAGATGCAGACTTTGCAGAATTTGGGTTCTGGGCGTGTGAAGGATGGCAAGACAAGTGGGTGGATTTCCGCGGATGACGCAGCGCCATCGTAACAACGGTATCGCGTGCCCATCCAGGGTGTGTACGATGTCTTGGGGACCATGCACATCTGCACAGCTATCTCCGCGATAGGAGCCCTGCAGACAGAAATTTCGCTACTCTTTGACTCGATAGAAACATGTCACCACGTCCCTGGGCCCGGAGAAACTCTCTATCTCGCAGCACCCGACGCCATGATGGTTCGAGGTTGCGTCTCTGCGTTCGCTTGGGATGGTTAGCTGGGGTGCTATGGCAGGGAAGGGATAGCGGTTCTGCGGTAGGGAGATAAAGGCAATGTGGGGTATAACGGGGCGCCGCCCCGGCCGCTGACTGGCCGCCATGTCCAGTTTACTCGATGTCATCGAGTAAACCGTCGGGCTGCTTATAACATACCTCAACCGCCAGCTTCCCTGCCTCAAAGCTCAGCTGTGAGCTTCGGCTTGCCAATCCCACTACCGTTGGCAACGACTTGCATGGTCATGCGCTTGTACATGCCTCTTGCGCGCTGAAGGCATCGCGCCAGCCGACTTCGCCAGCCTCGATTTTTTTCCGGACTCGTATACCTCTTCGAGCTTTTCGATGGCTCGCATCAGCCTAGGCGGTTTCGGCGACGCCGTGATGAGTATGGGAGTCGCATGGTAGTACATTTTGCCCACGTCAATATCGTTCTACATGCTTAGGACTTTCGTATGGCACAAGCTACGGACTGATCGCGTGCACTTGGAGTAGCGTGCAGTAGCAGTAGGATGCACTAACCGATACTGAGGTATATGCTCAAGCAATGCGTCAAAAGAGCCGACTTTCGTTAATAGAAGGCACGTGGTCAAGTGGCAGTCGCTACCAACCTTGGAAGTTGATAACCCATAGCACCTTCCTAGGCGTGTCGAGTCCCGAGGTTTTCCCAAAGACCATCACGTGGCTGAAGAACAACACGATCCTACCTAGGTACCCTTCAACCCCCTCGGACATTCGGACATCCAGCATCTCAGATCCCATCGAAATCTCCGCTGTTTCCAATCCCGAACAGAGGCCAAGATGTTCTATGCCTTGCGTGTTTACAACCACCATCTCACGATGAACGCGCAGATCGGAAACATCCACCGAACAATGGCTGAAGTCGATACACCATGTCGAGATTGTTGCGCGTCCATCAAACATTATACGCCGGCTAGGGCTGTTTGTCTATCGGGCCGTTGGAAAATGCCCCAAATATGCAGCCTGGCTGAGTGAGGTTGTTTCGCACGTTGGCGTGTTTCAACGCCCGCTCGATGTAATTTCCCGTCCACAAGATCACAGTTCTAGACATGACGTTCACTGGAGCGTCCAAGATTGTTTCGCTTTAATGTGCAAGTGGAGACATCGTGGCGTCTATTAGAAAC